TTTAGGTTTGACTGTAGCTTTTTACGGCCTAGTCAGGGTTTAACTTTAGTTTGGGTATAATTTAAACACGCTTTACGCCGGATCTTATTAGTTTGGGTTAATCATATGACCGCGGTGGCTGGCACGAAATTTACCAACCCTATATTTCTATGTGCTACATAACACCATTTCCCTGTTCACAAAGCTTATGTTTTGTTATTTATTTTGTTAATTTCATCATATCTATTACATACCTAGCTAGGACAATCTGCTGGATGAGATCATTACTAAGTTTTCTCTTGTAGTAGGTGTATTTAACCAATTGCATTTGTTGTATTAATTCTGCTAGATTTTTGTAATGTTATCTTTGCCTCTTCCCTTTTTATTACTTTTTTTTCTTTTTTTTTTTAGAGACAGGGTCTTACTCTGTCACCCAGGCTGGAGTGTAATGATGTGATCATGGCTCACGGACAGCCTTGAATTTCTGGGCTTAGGTGATCCTCCTGCCTCAGCCTCCTGAGTAGCTGGCACCACAGCAACATAAACACCACGCCCAGCTAATTTCTTTATTTCTATTTTTGTAGACATGGGTCTCACTATGTTGCCTAGGATGATCTCAAGCTTCTGGCCTCAATCAATCCTCTTGCCTCAGCCTCCCAAAGTGCTAGGATTACAAGTGTGAGCCGGCTGCCTTCTCTCTTTTCTTTTCCCTCTCACTTTGCCACACACAGTGTTGTTTGTGCTTTGGATAATTTATAGTCTGTTTTAAATTTTACCAATAGATAAATCTTCTTAACTATTCAAAAAATCCTTAAATATTTATCAAAGTTTAAAAATCAATAATATTTTAAATTTCCACTTATGGAAGAGGAAGAAATCTATACATTTCTTTTTTTCTCCAGTTCTCACCCCTCCTCTTACCTAGTTTCCCCTTTATTTGTAACAGATGATCACTTTGTCTTTTACATATGTATATAAACAATGTTACAAGTTATACTTCCCTCTAACATTTACTATTCACTACCAGTCCTTTTAAGTTTCAACTTCTTAAACTTGGATTAATTTTTATCAGTCCCTATGCTTTGGGTACCAAGTTAATATACTTAAAAACTACTTCTATAAATGTTAGCTTTAGAATCATGAAATAGCTAAGAGTTCTTGAGTCAATTTTTTTTTTCATTAAGAAAGAGAAGTGTTATCAGAGAAAGAGCACTTTTACATTTTTATTTATCACTGGGATACTCACGTTACTTATCTTTCCTATTTAAAAAAATCACCATGTTTGTCTAGGTTTGGATCTCTGTTCATGAATTTCGCCTGGGGCACTACGAATATTACCATTTCTAAAATTCACTTTTTTTTTCTCCTGTGGAAAACAGTGTGGTGATTCCTAAAAGATCTAAAAATTGACCTTTCATACGACCCAGCAATCCCTCTTCTGGGAATATACCCAGAGGAACCCAGGTCAATCTATGAAAAAAGATACCTGCACACGCATGTTTATTGCAGCATTATTCGCAATAGCAAAAACATGGAACCAAACATGCTGATGGAAAATAGACTGGATGAAAAAAAAATGGTACATATACATGATGGAATAATACATAGCCATAAAGGACAAATTATGGCCTTTGCAGCAACCTGGAGGATTCAGAGTCTATAATACTCAGTAATATATCATAGAATCAAAAAATGGAGTACCACATATTCTCACTTATAAGCGGACCCTGAACATTTATCATAATACTATAAGAAAGGGATTGGGAGTAGTGGGGTACTGCTGGGGGGGTGGTGACATAACATCAATAAAGTTATCTGATCTCAAACCAGGTGAAGTGGGGACAAAAGGGAGACCCAAAATTTACCTGGATGATGACCACTTATCTACCTAATCATGAAGTATACTCCACATCTTTAAAATATTTTAAAAATTCATATTTTTAAAGAACTGTTTTCTTGCATCTTTAGTGATTGTTTCTATTCCAATGTCTTCTTCAGAAAGACCAGTTATGCAAACTCTGGGTTTCAATTTATCCTGTGAACTCATGGTTTACAATCTCAACTGGGCCATCCATTTTCTTTTCTCCACATCAGTTATTTCAAAGCTCCTTTGCTCTCAAACCCTTCACTTGGCAGACTTTGGCACAAGGGTCAACTCCAGCCCATAGCCTACTTTTGTAATAGTTCTAATGGAACATGGTCACAATCACTGGTTTCTGTATTGGCTATGGCTGCTTTCATGCTACAATGGCATAGTTAAGTAGGTGGGATAGACCCAATGATCAGCAAAGTGTAAAATATACTAGCTAGTCATTTTGGCTTGCCGACCCCTAAATCCATCACCTACCCCCTTTACTCTGAATAGATTGCTTCCCAAGTAACATAAGACATAAAATAAAAATACTGACACTTCTCCCACCAAAAGGAAAACAAAGGAAGAAACCCAACTTTAACCCCATCCAATAGCTTTGGGCCCATGTTCTATATCCTTGGAGCATCTATTTCTTCACTCATTCCAATACTACTTCTTCCCCACTTCAAAGTCTCCTTCCATTTCTACTTTGAGAAATCGAATTTGTATTTTAGCTTCCCATTTGACCATTCAGCAGCATGAGACCCTTTTAGCCATTTCTTCTCTTGAAACATTTGACATTTCTTCTCTTGAAACAAGGGACACTTGTGATTTTATCTTGTGCATCCTCTTTTGCAGGCTTCTCTTACTCTGCTTGTTTGTTTCTGTCCTGAGCCGTCTTTCTTTTCAGCCCACATATGCTGATTATCATTTGTATACTGATGATTACTTAGTTTGTAACTGTGACCACTTTCACATTTAAGCTTCACATGTCCAACCTGAACACATCATAGGAACCGTAAACTCAACAGCCTGCAAGTAACTTTTTTTTCCAAAACCACTCCTACTCTTGTGATTATCAGTGAATGGTACGATCCTACACCCAGTTACCCAAATGCAAAATCTGGATGTCACTCGATTCCTCTTCCTTCTACCATATGCAATTTATTTCCAAGTCCTTTCAATACTTCTCAAATCTCCTCCCTTTTCTCCATCTCAATGTTCTCAGCCTAGAACAGAGCATAAGCATCCTTCTCCACTTAAGAGGGTCTCGTTACTGTCTCCTCCAGGCCCCTCCAAACTGTGTAAAGATTGCTAGATTGCTGAGGATCATCACATTCCCCCATTTAAAATCCTTCAATGATCATAGATTAAACAACAAACCATTACCCTGCCTTACTGGTTTACATTAGTTTCTCTTCCCTTTACATGCTAGAATATAGTCATGTTCATTTTCATTTCTATAAGCATTCCATATGAATCTTGGTCAACCTGTAAGATTTCATATAATGGGATGGATGACACCCCTGCTAAGCTGCCTGTTTCCCAATCTGTCTAGATATCACTTCCTTAGGAAGGCTATATGGGACTTCCACTCCCACTCCAGACTAGGTGCTTCTCTTGTATACCTATCAAAACAATGATCACAAACTATGTTTATAACTGTGCTTTCTTCAAGAAAATAGGCTTTATGAGCACATAGACCATTTCTACTTTATCACTATAAACAGAGTTCCACACAGTGTGAGGCACTCCATCTAATTGATAGAAATTAAACAAAATCATCTTTATTTTTATCTATTCTTGCCTTGTGATTTGAGAGCATGTCTCAACCTTGTCTTCTACTGACTCAAATGTCGGGTTTATTATTTCCAGTGTTCTCAAATTTAATGCATCCTACTACTACTCTTTTTCAATTGAATGCCATTCTCATTTTTCATCTTTGCCTATTCAATTTTCATAATGACTCTTTTTTTAAAGCACTTTATAAAGTATACATTCTAAAAACCTCTGCTTATGGCAATGCATCTATTTTAGAGCAAACTGAGTATGAGAGTCCTCAGGGTACTGATTGCTTTTTTTGTGCTACAATTGTTATTCATAAATCCCACATTTCTCTTTGCTTGTATCTGGTTTGAATTTGAGCAAAAGGGTAAGATACTACAGGAATTGTTGTCTGTTATGTCAGATGGGCACAGGACTACACCTGAATCCTTTACCAAAAAAGCAAGAAGGTAGGAGCAGGGGTGAGGGGGAGATGGAGATAGGTGGAAAAGAAACACAACAGGAATGACAAACTTTGTTTGCCACCATCCACTGCAGATGCAGCAAACTTCTCTGCCCCCTCCCCCCAAAAAACCCCGAAAATATAAAAAAACCATAACAGCAGCAACATATTATGTAAAGATATCAGCCAATGTGTCTTCTATTTAAAAATAGTGATCAAAGCAAATGCCACTTTTGGACTTCTCTTACAAACAAATGATTCTGAGGTAGTAGATGGAGAAGATACAACATCCCAATGTTCTCAATGTATTAAGGGATCTGGCTGCCAGAGGAGATAGTAAAAGGTTACATACAATTCATTAGGAATATCTAGAATATGACCAATCACTTGTCCTGTTTTACTCTGCTTTCATAGACAATTGTTGAATTTTTTAACCAGTCTTTTATTCTTTTAAGGGGAACGCAGGGTACGTGTATGTATGTCTTGGGTACATGGAAGGTTTTCCACTGTGCCTTTCTGCTGCCATACTGGCCATAATGTTAAAGCACTGTGTTGCTGTTACTAAGCTGGTTCAGGAATATCCTGCCCCAAATCTGCTTTGGTACAGCAGCATATGATTAAGTTGTCTGTAATAACTGAAATTAAGATGGGCTAGGAGTGACAAGAGAAAAAGTGATTTTTAGAAGTGCCATATTAACAATATGTAGCAATAGATTAAGTCATTCAGTGTTGGTGGTTCAAACATATTAAAACAAACACATGTAGAATATTTCACAGTCAAAAATGTCTTTAGTAGGTTCTAAAAAACACCAGTTTCCCAATGTAGAAAAGGCAATTACTATGCATAATTTATCATATCAAATATATGGCGCTTTTACAAAGCATCATACTATTCTAAAAGAGTTTGCATTTTTCAAATAAACACAAAATAAAACAAGTAACTCTGAATAAGTAGTAACAACTTTATTTTAACTCAATGTGTTGAAATGCAAAAAATATTTTCAGCAACAAGATACAAGTAGTATGTATCTCATTGTTCACATCAGCTAATTAAAAACAAGGCTGAAAAGTTCAATACAAGTTTTTATACATTTAAATCTTGAAAATCAATTTCCCCCAGAACTAATTTTCAAATAATTTTTGTAGAATTTTATTTTCAAAAATGAGACTCATTTAAGTTATATCTTCTTTTTAAAAAACTGAATGCAAAATTTACTGAGTTACAGTATATAATGATAAACTCTAACAGAAAAAGATTTAAATATAAGAATTTCTTGTCAAACATAAAGTTCACATACTGCAAACAGAAGACACGGTGTGATTTCATTCCTAGTGAAGAGGAAGTCTTGCATATGATAGGCACTCAATATTTGTTCAACTGGACCTAAAATTTACATCATTCCATGAACACTTAAATAAAGTAGAGCTTGTAATCTGTATAAAAAAGGTTTGTAAAATACTCTTATGTGTGCTGAAAGTGCTGTCATTATAATCTGAGAACACTAAAACAAACTCACTCATCCACCTACCTTCTTTTGTAAGAATACACTGAATATATTTATTTTATCCATTAAAGAGCATGCGTGTCCAAGTCAGAATAATTCACCTCTTCAAGCATACTTGGCTATGAGCAAAGCTTGTTTAATTGGGGATTTTCACAAAACTTAACTTACTGAACAAAGTTCCTGTTCCATTTTAGTAACACTGAGTAATATCTAGGATCCACAATTTTATAAGGAATTCTGCTTAGATTTGAAATATATGCACGGAATTTAAATGGGTAAATAAATTATTAATTATACTTTTGGCCATCTAAGCTCTTACACAGATCTAGTTTAAGAACAAACCAATAATGTTCATGACAATTTTTCAAGAGATTGTTAATATTTTAAAATTTAATTTTATTGTAACTGTTGTCCTAAAAAGGCACTGTTTTTCACATTTCATCATGCAGTAATAAATTGATCACATTTTTGAGAATTATCGTTCCTCTGCTAATCAACTGTCCCCCCAAATACAGCATATTTAAATGAAATATTTCAACTAACCTAAACTTTCAACGTTTAACTTATTCCTATATTCAGAAATTCAGTCTTTTGAATATACCACACATAAGGCCCAAGCAAATACAGTTACATATACATACACGCGCACACGCATACATAAACACACGACATAATTCATGCAAGATTCTCCAATTACCATTTCAAGACAATGACACATGACTATTCAAGGAGGTAACATTGGCAAGCCATATTATGGCACCTTCATATTTGTGCTCCAAATATCAGTACACATTAAAATTAAAAAATAAAAAAGGCACAAATATAGTGTCTATATTTTGTCTAAAGAATAGTTTATCCAATGACTTTTTATAATATGTTATATTTAAAATCACTCACTACTTTCTAAGAAAAAGCCCTGTTAAGTGACAAGAGGGAAACAACAATAGGCTGATAGCTCAAAAGGCTGGACAGATCTGTGCCTATTTTGAAAACAATGCATGTAGTTTAGAAAGGGAGGGAGGGGGAGGCTATTAGAGCATTCATGTCAGACTACATTAACAGTTTTATATCATTGCCTCAAGAACCCAAAAAACCAAAAATATACATAATAAATAAAAAATAAATCAACTACCATATTCTGTTAGTTATAATGGTAGGCATTATATTATCTGAAAAGTGGACATTTTTACAAACATGGATATTCTTACAGCACAGTGTTTGACATTTTTGGTACAAAATGTGCTACCAAATTAAAAAAATATATAATAAAATCTTTAAGTCTGCAATAAGCACTAGAGTAAGTAAGAATAAACAGAAACGTTCATTATATGGTATTATTACTGAAGTTACTTTTGTGGTTAGAAATGTAGATTCAAGAAGTGAATTAATTCACAATGTGCCGGTGTGGTGTGCATTTGATATAAATGGATAGATTAGTACTTTTCTGATATATGACAACATAATTCTATAGCTTAAGGGAGTTGTTGTTTTCTTATAAGACCCCGGCAAAAATCTTAAATTAAAAGTTTATATAAGCTGGGTGCAGTGGCTCATGCCTATAATCCTAGCACTTTGGGATACTGAGGAGGGAGGCCTGCTTGAAGCCAGGAGTTGGAGACCTGTCTGTGTAACATAGCAAGACCCATCTCATAAAAGAGTGTGTATATAATAGGCTCAATCTTATGGTGGAATTAAGCAAGTGAATGTCTACTTCCAACAATATTCTTACACCGAATGAAGTTCATCACCAGGTAAGAATCTTTCTTCTATTACCAAGGGAGTTTTCCAATTTCAAATTTAAGTTACCATAACGAAAACTGAAACTATACAGAAAGAAACAAAGATATGTGAAAATATGAGTTTTTTTTAACAAATGCTTATTTGACAGTTTGTTCAATGTAAATATAAACCACTCTTGATATATCAGAATTGTTCAGTTAGTTAACATCTAACAAAGAGATAGCAAAACATAATATCTATTTGAAAACCTCAAGCTTCGTTTTTTTCCTTTTGTCCTGAATGCAAAAATTAAATAAACAAATTATATAAATCTTAATCTGAAGAATAAAACTGTATGGAAACCTACAGGAATATGCATTTTTTTCCAGTGACACACTTTTACCCTTGTGGTCAAATATAAATCTTGTTTAAGAAGCACATTGTCACTACCACAGTAAGTCAGAAGTAGGATCTGACACTGACTGCTCCTGCTTCTCCAGGATAATGCACCAGAATAACTCTGTTAAGAACACAACTATCAAACACTGAATGTGTGTATGTGTTTAAAGCTAAAACTCACTTATAATAAGGAACTGGCCCATGAAAAGCAGTTTATAAATAGTTTATCCTGTTCACATTATGCAGAAATTCAGTATCATCCACAATGTTAGTACAGTAACTGAAATACAAAGGAAAAAACAGGGTGGGCGAAGGTTCAGTGTGGCCTGATACAGTCTAAGCGTTCTCTCCTTTAGTATGCATCTCCCACAGGCAAATAACATCAGTTCATTATTTGAAGGAGAGTAGACTATCCAGGACTCGTTTATTGTTCAGGTGTCTTTTCCAAAGTGTGAAAAACAGGAGTAAACTCAATAACGAATATCTTCAATCCAAACCAATTTAACTATAATCAAGGATATCTTTTCTCATCTATCATCACAACATCCCAGTTGCCTCCATTTGTCTTAAAAAATTCTTTCAAAAGTTAAGACACAATTAACTATACCTTATTAATTCCCTCAAAAGCAAAAAAATATATGTACCATTCAGCATACAAAAATTACACATTAAAAGTGCATATATAGCTTTCTTAATTGGCCCACTTATTAAATTTACATTTGGTCATCCTACTTTTAACATGTACAGAATTCTTCATATAAATGTGGTCACTATAAATTTAAAAAAAAATTATTTCCATACATTACATGCTTTCTTCATGAAATCTTAACAATCAGTTCTCAGTCATTGTAAACTTGACAACCCACAGTTTGTTGGACAGTTAACATACAGACAAACATCACAAATTTCACTAAAAATTTGGGCCAACTCATTGCATATTTGCCCCCTGAAATGAAAAATAAATTAGAAGTGAAGCAGTGTATTGCCATAACTTACCTTGAAGGTAAGCAAGTTCTCCTAAATTTATAGAACTTAGACTGGAGACATTACTGGTAAACCCCAATACAAGTGCTTTTAAGGAGAACCTAGTTTCAAACTTTGAGATAGCATAGGACAAACCCTATAAAATTCACTTTTCTTTTCTCAAACATAATGGAAGATCTTTTTGAACTTATTATCTTCAGTTATCAATATTACTGCATTATGGAGCTAGTGCAATCTTGCATAGCCTTGGTCAAAATGACAAGGCACAAGAAAAAAATTAAAATATTATATGAACAAGAGAAGTCATTGAGAAGATAATTTAAGGCCTTGAAGTGAATTAATCAGTCTAATTTAAAGCTGAAGAATAAACCATAAATTATCCACCTGAAATGCAAGCAATATGCTTTTTTCAGTTTCTGTTCTGTGGACAAAATAACAGAAACAACTCTTGTTTATGGTTTGTGTATTAGAATCCTTCTGGATCTGGAGGAGTAAAAGTCAATTCCATTTTTCTACTGTTCATGGAAGATTTCAGGACTGTTTTAGCCGTTTGCGTGGAATGCCAAACTGTGGACACTGTGCAGATGCTAGTGCTCGGAAGGCTTCTGCTACTAAGTGAGGGTGAGACTGAATCATAGATTTCCACCCTGATGTCTCCATTATGTCGGTTGCTTGGCTGAAAAATAAAATTAAGAGATGTTTAATAAAGAATACTTTCCAAAATACACTGCTGCATTGTCAATTTTTTAAAATTTGTGAATTTCAAAATATTCAAACACTGTCTACCTCTCTATTTGTTCAAACCATTTGATTTTATTAAAACATCATCTTTATCATACTGGTATTTTCTGTGGCAACTAAAAGTATTAAATTTTTCTGAAAGTTCTATTCCCCTGAAGTATGTGGCATTGGTCTCCATAGTTCTCTCATTGTTAACATTTCTGTACCAGCTCTTTTAAGGGCCCCTTTCTCTTCTTTTACCTGCCTCTTACAAGGTTTTATAGAACTACTCTTCTCTCTTAACATGTATTAGTCATTCTATCTCATCTACTTTTCACAATATAACTACCATATTCATTGATGTTAACTCCTGAATTGCTAAATCCTAGGCTTTTTCACAAGGTTTGTTCCCAACTACTTGCTTTCTTTACCTAGATGTGCCACAAGAACCATAAACTCAGGATTGTCAGATGAGAACTCATCATCTCTCTCCCCAAGCCCCAAATTCTTCCTCCTACATTTCTCATCAGTTAAAGCTTCCATCATCACTCAGTAATTCAAGTTGAAAACCCGGAAGTCGCCGGGCTTGGTGGCTCAGCCTGTAATCCTGCACTTTGGGAGGCCGAGGTGACTGAATTGCCTGAGCCCGCAGGTTCGAGACCCACCTGGGCAACTTGGTGAGACCTCATCTCTACAATAAAAAAAAAAAAAAATTAGCCAGGCGTAGTAGCATGTGCCTGTAGTTCCAGCTACTTGGAAGGCTTGAAGCGGAAGGATCGCTGGAGCCCAGGAGGTCGAGGCTGCAGTGGCTGGGAGTGGCCTCTGCACTCCAGTCTGGGCAACTGAGTGAGACTCCAACTCAAAAAAAAAAAAAAGAAAACCCAGAAGTCACCCTAGATTTTGTCCTTTCCAGACAATCATTAAAACCTTATTTTAAGGCCTGAAAGTCTTCAAAAATGTCTTGAATAACTGTTAAGGCCCACATCACCTTATATTTGGATTATGACAACAGTCTCCTAATTTGTCTTCTCGTCTCCTATCCTGCTCCTCTCAAATCTAGCTTCCAAAATGCAACCTCGGTAACATGACTATATCACTCACGCCCTCTTTTATTGTTCCCCATTGCCTATATCCAAGTTCTTTAGCAAGAGAAACATGGCTCCTTATGACTGGTTCTCTAACTTCTCTCCCTCTCTCTCACGTCCATGCTCTGGAATTTTACATGATACTCAATTGCTTACTGTCCCCTATGTACAGTATGTATGCTCTCACTAAGCAATCATAGAAAATAGATGCTCAAGTAACAAGTCTATCCTTTCTTACCGCCTTTTATCACCTACTATCCAAATGATATCCAAACACTATAGATTCTCCCTTCAAAGTATTTCTCATATACTTTCATTTCTCTCTAGTACCACTGTCACCAATCAAGTCTCATTTCCCCCTTCATTCTTGTCTGAACTACTTTAATAACTTTTCAACTGGTCTAACTGTATTTAACCTTGTTTTGCAACTACTACCGCCATCCCAACCTCCCTACAATCCATTCTCCACCCTGCAGGCATAGACTGCTAAAAATGTAAACCTAATCATGCCCTACCCCAGCTGAAAACCCTTTACTGGACACCAATTACTCTTCAAATAAATGTCTAAAAGTCCTAATGCTGTTTCCCATGGCCTTCCAGGATCCGACCTCTGCCTGTCCTCTCCAGTTTCTTCTTATTAACTAACTTCTTCCTCTGCCCCCCTGCCCCCACCACTATACTGCTTATACTGCTCTTTCTCATCATAAAAACTGCATATCACATTTTCTTTCTCTAGGATGCACTTTTTCTCCTCTCTTCCCTCTTCTTCACCAGGGTAACTCCTACCAATACTTGAGGCTTTTTGGTTTTCCAACAATTCCTTGTGAAGTCTTTTTCTGACCCCTAGATTAGGTTAGGTACCTTTACCATATGCTCCTAGGGGCATGCCACACACACACACACACACACAAAACACACACATGTTGTACATATGTTCCTTATCATACTTTATTGCAATTACTTGTTTAATCTACTGCTATATCATAAACTCATCATACTTTATTGCAATTACTTGTTTAATCTACTGCTATATCATAAACTCCATGAAGGCAAGGAAAATACCTGTCAAGCTCACTGCTATATGTTCTATTCTGAACACAGTGCCTTGGGGACTCACTGGATAATAAAATGCAAGTATTTGTCAAATAATTTGTCCATGCCATCCTTTTTATTTACAATGCCTGGTACTTCCTTCTTAGTTCTACTAAGTCCAATTCATGATTTAAGACTCAGCTCAGTCATCTCCAGGAAGCCATCCTCAATCTCCAGGCCTAGTCAAATGCCTGTATATATCCTCCTTTATCATATTGCTTACCATATTATTAACGAAATGATATATTCAGATAACTATCTCTATTAGATCAATTTCTTAAGAACAAGAATTTTCCCTCAAATTCTTTTTATATGCAGTACCCTAGCCCTGTGCTTAAAACACTATGGATGCTAGGGAAATGTTTGTTCAATTAAACAATAGCTGATATAAACAAAATAATTTTCAATTTACAAACATCAAAGTACAAGTGTCACTATGTTTAAAATTTCAACTAGCTGTTTAGAATCACATGAATACCTCCTAATAAATCTGATATTTTCATTTATTAATTGAATAAAATATCTACTGAATGCCTGTACATACAACACAGCTTCTCCGAGGGGTATAAAATAAGCTATTTTTTTTTTTTACACCAAAGAAGTTACACAATGTAAAATATTTCAGTAATAGAGTAAAACTAGAGCTAGACAGTGGCTAAGTACAAAGAATCACAAACTGTTATTTGTTGCTAATATAGTACATTTTAAATTCAAAATTATTTTTTTTAGGATCACATACTATGAAGATATCCTGTTACCATATACTGACCAATACATACAACCAATAATTTAAGTATATTTTTTACCTTCAGAAAACAGAATTCACAAACTAATAGGGAATCAGTTAACTAACTTCATCAAAACAGATGAAAGCAATGGGAAACGGTTAAATCAACAAACTAATTCATTTTACTATTTTAACTAGTAGTTTAAATAATGTTAATACTTATTTAATTTTTAAATAAATAATACCTTTTTTTTGCTTTCTTATATCCACTTTTGATATTTGAGAAACTGGGTTTTGAGAGTTTATAGGCAAAACTAATCAAAAACAGATGCAAAAACTTCAACCTACTGCCTCTTTTCCCTTTTTGATTTCAAATAATTACAAAGAATAGAAAAGTCACTGAAAATGAGAGAAGGAAAAAAGTAGAATACATTTTAGTTCATATTCAAAAGATCCAGGCTTAGAAAGATAAAGCAACTATCCAACCTCTTAGAGGTAAAGGGAAAAAGAAAAGATCAAATTGCTACCATTTTTGGAATAAGAGGCAGGTAGCCTAATAAGGCATATGATACAAGGTACTTGGTTAGTCCAAGAAGCACCAAGTTAGCCTTCAAATATAAAGGCTAAACAAGTTTGGAGGGTACGTTCCTCATAGGGATTAAATGAATATTTCTCTCACCTTTAGGAATGTTTTCTGAAAGGGCAGTGCTACATCTCTAGAAGCCCTTAAATATCTAGACTCTGTTATGTACCATGTAGCATATGCACTTAAAAAATTAGAGCATCAGTCTCAGTTTGCATAAGAAGCTGATCTATAAGGGAGCACTAAATATAGTCTCAGAAATTCACTAAGTAGTCATTAAAAAAAAAAAAAACCAAAACACTAGCAGCTTGTTTCCCATAACTAACATCTGGATTCATACGTGTTGAAGATGAACAAAAGGCTATGCAAACACTTAATTTCATTTATGCAGATCAACTTTAAGTCAGAAACTGATGTCATCTTACTTGCTGTTCCAGTTTTTCCCATCTTTACACCCAAGTTGTCGAAGTACACTGCACCTGCATTGAAGATTTAAACACACTTTAAAAAAGTTTGGTGAAGAAATGTGGAAGGTGTCATGTCCACAGAAATATAAGCATAGCTTACCTATTAATAAAGTCTATGGCTTGTGCTTTCAACTGTTCTGCACTGTGCAAATCTGCAAGGACAAGGGTATCAGCAACATTTTCTACTGAGAGGTTACTACACAAAGCTTCTTCGCACATGACCTTCAGCCGTTCCAGTGCATACTAGCCAAAATGAAAATATAATCATTACATACTATCCAAGATGAATATAGCCATCACACATTACTACAAGTTTCCAAAACAATATATTTGTAACTCAGAAAATAAAGTTAAAGCATATTATTCTCTAAGCTAAGATTATCTTAACATCTTTAAGTTATTGTTTTAACCTAGTATGAAGAAAATATAAATGAATTTAGAAAACTAACTTTCTTTGGAAAATTTAAATTTGCACAAGTGCAAAATACAGTGAATTTTTACAGTAGGGTTTATACTAAGAAACTACCTTATAACTCAATATTCTTAATGAGTATATGTCTCTTCTCTACTATTTCAAACACTAAAGTGTACCACAATCTACACCACTGCCAACCAATCAGTCTTAAAGAGTGAATTCATTATAAAGCTAAACAAATCATATTCATAACCAATGAAAATTCTTGCAGTTATTTGTGTATATTATGTAATATAACATGTGGAGCTGTTTCGCTGAGGTGTAACTGACATACAATAAATGAAGTACACATAAGGTTCATTCTTTGACAAGTTTATACAGCCATAAAATCATCATCAACTCAAGATAATAAATATACCAAATCCTCCCTCAAAGTTTCTTTCTACCCCTTTGTCATCTTTCCTTCTTGCCCCACCTCAGGCAGTACCTCTGATATGCTTTCTATCACTGCAAATTTGTTTGCATTTTCTGGAGTTTTCTATAAATAAAATAATGCAATATGTACTCATTTTTGTTAGGCTTTCCTTTTTGGGGGGGTTGGAGTCTCATTGTTGCCCAGGCTGGAGTGCAGTGGCACATTCATGGCCACTGCAGCCTTGATTTACTGGGCTCAGGTGATCCTTCTGCCTCAGTCTTCCATAGCTGGAACTACAGGCATGTGCCATCATGCCTGGATTTTTTTTTTTTTTTTTTAATTGTAGAGATGAGGTCTCACTAAGTTGACCAGGCTGGTCTGAATCCACAGGCTCAGGCAATCCTCTCACCCCGGCCCCCCAAAGTGCTGGGATTATAGGCGTGAGCCATTGCGCCTGGCCCATGTTTGACTCTTTCATTCAGTATGATTGTTTTGAGATATATGCACATCTCTGCCTGGGTATAAATAGTTCAATTCTTTTAATTCCATCATGCATAGATATACTACAATTTGTTTATCCATTACTATTGATAAATATTTGGGTGTTTACAGTTCTTAGCTATTACAAATAAAGTTGTTATTCATATACAAGTCTATGTACAGGTATTTTTTTTTTTCTTTTAGGTAAAAATGTACAGATAGACTCCTTGGATCACAATAAGTTTATTTTTAACTTTTCAAATAAACTGGCTAACAGTTTTACAAAGTAGTTGTACCATTTTACATTCTTATCAGCAGCATATGAAAGTCCTAATTCTTCCACATTTTTGGTATATGAGAAACCTGTTCTTTCACATCCTTGACAACACTTAGTATAGTCTTTGTAATTTTAGCCATTATAATGATGGCTTTTAATTTACATTTCCCTAATGACCAATGATATTGAGTATCTTTTAACATATTTCATTAAAATTATTTCAGAAAGTGTCTACTTAAACATTTTGTTCACTTTCAGAAATAACTAACAAATTTTAATAGATTAATAAATTTTAATAAATTAAAAATTAACACTTTTTCTTATATCTGAGTTTTGAGAGCTATTTATATAGTATGAATAAAGGTCAGATAAATTCAGAATAAAAATTGCTCATTAGATATATACTATGCAAATATTTTCTCCCAGTCTGTGGCTAATCTTTTTATTGTAAAGTTTAGAATTTCACTGAAGTCCATTTGACCATTTTTCTTTTATGGATCATGTTTTGCTGTCACTGCTAAGAAATCATTACAAACACTTTCTCCTATACTTCCTTTTAGAAGTTAAAGATTTTTAGACTTATGATTCATTTGCATTACTTTTTGTTATATAGTGTGAGGTATGTATAAAAGTTCATTTTTTGTGCATATGGGTATTTGATTATTCCTGTATCATTGGTATAAAGATTAGTTTCTCCACTGAATTGTCTTTGCACTTTTGTCAAAAATTAAATATCCACATATGTGATGGTCTATTTTTATACTCTTTATTTTGTTCCTTTAAGTTATTTATCTGTCTTGATGACAATATAACGCTGTCTTAATTACTAGCTTTATAGAAACTCCTGATATCAGGCAGTGTTAGTCCTCTATTTTCATCCTGTTTTTCAAAGGTATTACATAATCTTAAATCAGCTTGTCAAATTTGCTTCTTCCTGGCTCAAAGATATTTTTACATCTTGATTTTTTCAAAAAAATCTCATTTCCATATTATCCCACTGTATGCTATTTCATAAAACTCTCAAGAGCCATCTATAAATAGTCCAAGTTACTTGGCATTTTCATTGGATACTTTTCTATAGATATAGATATATCTATGAAAAAAAGAAAAGCCTGCTAGGATTTTTAGAGGGACATGTTGAATACACTATCAATTTTAAAGAGAACTGACATTTTAACAATATTGAGACTTTCAGTTCAGGAACAAGATTTCTCTTCACTTATTTAAGTCTTCCTGAATTTCTCTTAGCTTTATTTTGTAATTTTCAAAGTATAAGTCTTGAACAACTTTTGTCAGATTTAGGTCTATGTATTTAATCTTTTTTTATGCTATTGTAAATGGTATTAAGTTTTTAATAAGATAGTTGTAGATCACAAACAGTTGTAACAAATAATTGATTCCATATACACTTGGCCCAGTTTCCTCCAATGGAAATAGTTTTCAAATGTTGTGTATGGACATAGACATAGATACACACACACACACACACACACACACACACACGTGTGTGCTTATATACTGAATGTGCTTTTAGGATAGTTGTAGGATAATTTTTAACCACTGGCTTAAAAATTTTCTGTTATATTTGCAGTTTATCTACCTTTAAGAAATCACCATTACAAAAGAGAATTATAAATTGTTAACATTGTTTTTTCTCTTTCTACACTGTTAAATTAAAAAAGCAAATCTATACATACAGATAATTAAACTATACATATTATTCAGCAACTTCTGTTTTTAAAAGGTCATGAACTATATCTTAAAAGAAGAATATCTGAAAATTACAACAAATTATATCTGCCAGTGTGTGTTCTTATAAAAGGGAGTCAATATACACTTGAAACTACTAAATTTACAGTTTAATCTCCTATGGGAGGAAAAATCACTTCTTCCTGGCACCAAGATATTTTTACATCTTGTTGACTTTTTAAAAAATCTAATTTTCATATTATCACATAGTATGCTATTTCAAAAAACTCTCAAGAGCCATTTACAAATAGTGTTAGCTATTTGGAGTTTTCATTTGATGACAGTTTTCTATATACATCAAGCTTGAGGACATTTTTCAGTTCTTTAAGACCTAATTACTTACTTTGTCTGCAGCTGCCAACAAGTTGTCAGCCATTTTGTCAAGGTTTGGTGCTTTCCCTGTGTAAATGAATCTCATCATTTCTTTAAAAACCTCAGGGTCTAAGTCATTTATTTCCACTCGATTCTGATATTGGAAACAATATAAAAAATGTAAAGAATGTGAACACACAAAATGAACTAAAGTGAATCTTGACAGTAATTTAAAAGCCCCAAATCTACACTAAAAGTTTATAACTCAAATATACAGATATTTCTAAACTCTACTTTAAAACTGAGAAAAGTAAGTCTTCATTAAGGTAATTAGGTAGAATGAAGTAGGCAAGTCTAAGAGGAAAAGCATACAGTGTAGGAGAGGTGAGAACCATGGCCCAGGAGGGGAGCTCACACTCTGGTTCTCGTACCAAGTCAAACACTACCAAGTGGGAATATAAACCTCAATTTCTCAATTAAAAATTAGGCCAACAAAACTAGGCCAAACAAAATACATCTTTGTTAAGTTTATGATCTCCATCCTAAAAGATAATGGCTATTAACTGTTTTCTTTGTTGAATTCTTGGGTCAAAAGACAATACCTAAGACCCTATACCCCACCGTTCTATTCCCAGCATTAAGCAAACGTAGGGCTAAATATTTGAGAAAATAGCAAAACTCATTACCACAAAACTCACCCCTTTGCAAAAATGGCATGTACTGTTATATACTGGCACTCCTTGCTCATCTTAAACATATTCAAAGAGGACTAGTGTTTTTTACTTCTATATTTTTGTATTTGGCTTCTCACTTGAGATCACTGAAGTTAAATATCTAACTCTAAACAACAGCAAACCTTTCTGACCCTTTGAAAATTATCAGAAAGATGATCATAGCACATCCCCAAGCAAACATCAGAGAAGCAAGCAGTTAATTTATTGCAGCCTCTAGTTCTCCCAAAAGAATAAAGTGAGCCACATGAATAAACTCTGGAGTTGTCCAGTTGGAGCCCTAAGGCAACCAGCAAATAATCAACCTGTGGTCTCTAAAATAACTACATTTCAAGGGGACAGGTGAAAGAAATACCTGGAGAAGTCAAATAGGTAAATCTTGATTACGGTTAGTGTAAAATAATACTTATGTAATCTGTGTCCTTTATGCTACACCTATTAGGTATTCTCTCATTTTAGTGATTAAAGAATGTAGACATTTTGTTGCTAGAAAACAAATTCCAAAATCAACCCATAATGTCTAGAAATGGGGAATATATATCTTGAGAGGCTCCTCAAATAGCTATGAAGCAGAATGGTCCTTTGGATAACTCATTCTGAATAACAAAACATTTATTTACCTACCAGATAGACATAAACGTACCTGTTCCTTGGGATATTTACTACACATTCACATTGAATTACATCTATTATTTCATTATAGAGAACATTTTTCCCCATCTTTCTATTTGTTTCTAAAATTTTTCTCTACTTATCACAGTAAGACAAGAACATGCAGTTACTTTTAAAACATACACCCACTATTTTACATTTGTATAAATTAAATATTAGCTTTTAAGCCATGTTTACCTTTTTGCTTTCTTCCATTTCATGTTCAAACATGGCATTAAAAACTGGGGATCGAGCTGTAACAAGATTAAGCACATTATTTTATGCATAAAGTTATTTTATTAAATGTACTGTATTATCCAAAAGTAGAAAGTACCTGCAAGTACAGATTTATGAGCTTTAAATTCTTGTCCTCTCACGAAAAAACTGCAATCTGTAAATCTTGTGTTTTCCCAGAGATTACCTAAATCTTCTGCTAGTCGACATTCAGGCACCTTCAAAGTATTTGTATTAGTATGTCCCGATATGTTTACTGAATCTTGGACCACACTCACCTAATAAAAAACGGATGGCAAGAAAAACACACAAAGTAATATTAATAATTAGTTATAAGTCTATACCTAAATTTTTTTTTGTTTAAGATCACTTGGACGATTCAATATACTTCTGATCAAAAATCCTAAAATCCAGAAATTGAATTTAAGAATATAATTTATAGGAGATAAATGATAAAAAATTACAAACAAGCCAGGCTCGGTGGCTCAGTCTGTAATCCCGCGCCTTTGGGAGACTGAGGTGAGTGGATTGCCTGAGCCCGCGGGTTCGAGACCCGCCCGGGCAACTTGGCGAGACCTCATCTCTGCGATAAATCAAAAAAATCAGCCCGTCTTGGTAGCGCGCGCCTGTAGTTCCGGCTACTCGGAAGGCTGAGGCGGAAGGACTGCCGGAGCCCAGCAGGTCGAGGCTGCGGTGGCCGGGAGCGGCCACTACACTCCCGTCTGTGCGACAGAGTGAGACTCCAACTCAAAAAAATATATATATCTACACTGTTTGTAATTTTGTTGTTGTTGTTTTTTGTTTTTTTTGAGTTGGAGTCTCAGTCGGTCACCCAGACTGGAGTGCAGAGGTCGCTCCCAGTCACCACAGCCTCGCCCTGCTGGGCTCCGGCGATCCTTCCGCCTCAGCCTTCCCAGTAGCTGGAACTACCGGTGCACGCTACCACGCCCGGCTGATTTTTTGATTTTTTGTAGAGATGAGGTCTCGCCTGCCCAGGCGGGTCTCGAACCCACAGGCTCAGGCAATCCACTCACCTCAGTCTCCCAAAGGCGCGGGATTACAGGCTGAGCCACTGAGCCCGGCCACAATGTAGATTTTTAAATAATGATATTTTATGTAAACAAATGGTGTCATATACTGGTTGGTTAGAATATTTAACAATGTCACTACAAAAAAATTTCTCAGCAGAAAAGCTACAATATGATGTAAATTCAAACAAGAAGACATTTTTGTGAGGTGAAGGAATTTATTTTCTCACATTTCAAACCTACTAACATTTACTATACATACAATAAAAACAGTATTTTGTTTAAAAGTCATAGTGACTTTTTATAGTATAAAGGTTATAAAATTAATCTATGATATGCAAATTGGTAAATTTTTAAAGTGTTATTCCTACATGTTTCAACTCTAGTAAAATTGACATATCTTACAGAACAAGAATTTTCACAAAAGCAACTATAATTATTTCACAGGAAAAAGTTCACAGGAATTTTTTATGGAAAATCAACGGCAAGAACAATGTAAATATAACTTAGTTTGATTTATAGACCTTTTATTTACCTATGAAATAATCAGTCAGTAAAAGTCAGCATGACTACAACTTTGTCTTTATGTAGAAGCTGACATAATATGGATTAAATTATTTGCCACTAAAGTTGACCACATACTAAATAAAATATCCTAAAACACTATTGACTAAGTCTTACATATCACTTTTAAGAAAAGGTATTCTATTATATTATTGGAAATTTCATATTATGTTTAATAAATTAAAGAAAATACTACCTTAACTAGTAAAGCAAATATGTCGGTGTAAATGAATCTTTTTTTTTTTTTTAACAAGAAGTACTATATTAGTTACCATTGTATTAAAGTGCTAAGTCTTATACTGCAGTAGATAGGTACATTCATTTAAAAACATTCATAAGGCTCTTATTAAATAAAAGTATAAATAAGGACACATGTATAGTCAACTATATAGAAAATAGAAATGGATTGATTCAAATTACTAACATACTAACACAAAAGTATAATAATGTTCTAATGTAAAATGTTTGGAGAATATTAACTCATTCATGACCACTGACATGAGTTTACATCATTTCAAATTCTATTCCTGGTTGCAGTTAATGTAAATTCACCTCATCATGAAAAACTGTCTTTTCGGGTTTATAATCCGAATAAAAATACAAAGTATGGAGTACTAGTCAGAGTGGTGTCTGAGGCAAATACTGGACATGTCTGCAACTTTCAGCTGTATTGCGAAAAAGGTGACAGTCTAGAAAAGACCATCTCACTTGTGCTTAACAACAGAAGTTTGCAGCAACCAGTTTTAGATTTTATTTTCACCCGCTATCAGTATTAGGAAAGTGAAAAATTTGCCAGCTGCAAATGTGTTAAGTCTCAGAAGTTCCAATTCACCCAGATGTACAAATACATATCTCACGTGAATGAAAGCATACTTCTAAAGAAAAACTAGACAGCTTTTATTCTTCAGATAATATTTTTTTCTTGAGTTGGAGTCTCACTCTGTTGCTCATGCTGGAGAGCAGTGGCATGATCATGGCCACTGCAGCCTCAACCATGATGGGCTCAGGTGATCCTTCCACCTCAGCCTTACAAATCTACAGGCATGTGTCAACACTCCTGGCTAATTTTTTTGATTTAATGTAGAGTTGAGGTCTCATCACATTGCCCAGGCTGGTCTCAAACTACTGGGCTCAGATAATCCTCTCCTTTCAACCTCCCCAAATTCTGGGATTACAGGTGTAAACCACTATCCCAGCTCAGAGAATATTTTTATTAACCACTGTTTTCTCTCAACTTGCATAATTCCTGAAATCATGAGTCACAGAAATCATCTAATCCATTCACTGTATTTTATAAAGAGATTTCAAATTGAGTTCAAGACAAAAGAAATAAAGTATCATAAATAACAATGTGTTAGAATCAGAGGAAGATTAAACCTAAATCTCCAGAATCCTTTTCTCGTGGCTCTTTATACAAAATAATATTTTTGATATTATTTTAAATTAGTAACATTACTTTAATTAAATTATGATAAAAAGTATTTATGACAACAATCTTGTGAGATGTTTTTCTAAATATGGGAGCCAAGATAGTTTACATAAATAAATCCACCATTAAAAGTTCTCCTATCCTATCAATTTTTTAATCACTCAAATCATCTCTAAAATTGTAGTAAATACAAAGTAGAAAAAAGAGCTTCACTAATCCTTACCTGATTGCCTGTTCTACTATACATTAAAACCTAATGATATAAAACATTCAAGGTTTAGCTAGGGATCAGCTTTTTTAGCACCCAGACGGTATTTATTTGCTCATATCAAGCACTGCACTTGAAATTTCTAGATAGAAAGAATTGGATCTGTTCAATGACTTGCCTAATATAAACAGTACAGTTATAAAAATGTGATGATATATTTAATTTAGAAAACAATTTCCTAAATTCTACATACTGTCTCTTAATCGAATTCAAAATAATATACTTAATGTAGAAATGTGGCAAAAAATAGGCAGATATAAACAAATTAAAAAATAAAGATATTATGAGGCATAGCTATCACAGATATTAATGATGTTGTATTTACATTTTGTATAAGCAATCATAATTCAGAAGGATTTGTATACCTATTTTCCTAGTATTATTACAAATTTTAACTAAGACACTTAATTAACATTTTATACTCCAAAGAGTATTCAAAAGACTAAAGAGCAGAAATTAATGATCTAATTAAAAATTGATATGCAATGAATTCTGATGGTTATTTTCTTGATACCTACAATTAAGAAAATGACAAAAATTTAGTTTATCTATTACATATTCAAATACAGGTAATGAATACTCTTACTTAATGGAACCTAGAATAAAAAATTCAGGAAAAAGGCTGAGATTCCTGAGGTCAAATTTGCATTTCTTTCAAAATTAAAAAAAGGGCAAATGCACAATACACAAAATTGTCAAATGCTGCAAATCAAAGTTTCAAATTCATCTGACAGCACTTTTTCAAATTTACTTTTGGCTCAACCCTGAGAATATGATTTAGACTAAAAATGAACATTTGAGGGATTAAGTCAACTCTGTGACCACCTGAAAAGTTGGGTCTCCTCTAGTGTAGAACTAAGGTACTGACTGGTTCCAATTTTTAAAAATCTGAATTTTCCAATTAATTCTAAAAGCCAGAACTTTTCAAAGCTTCACAGGACTACAATTTTGCCATTCTAATAGACTACCTAACCATCCCCCACACTGGGTCCAAAGTGAGAAACTTTTAATAGTCTAACTTCACATTATCTTTTAGAATAGTGGATATTAGACTTTTTGGCTTTCATACATAGGTATCATTTTTAAAAAACTGGTGACAGAAATTGGGTAGTCAACTTTTCATTTTGCAAAGAAAGAGTTTTGTAGAAAATGAAACCCAACTTCCATCTACCATTACAAGTACTTTAAAACAGAAAGGTGATCAATGTGCTGTGGTTTGAATGTGTTCTGCAAAGTTCATGTGTTGCAAATTTGACCTCCAATATAACAGTGCTGAGAAGTGAGACCTTTCAGAGTTGATTAGGTCAGGAGGACTCTGACCTCATAAATGGATTGTCTTTGGGTTAATGTTTTTATTGAGAGAGTGGGTTTATTAAAGCAAATTCGGTGCACAAATGCACACACTCCCTTTCTCCATTCTACCTTTCTTATCTCCCTCTCCCTCTCTCTACCATGTGATGCCTTATGTTATGACACAACAAAAAGATGCAACCTCTATTGCGAACTCTCCAGCCTCCAGAACCATGACCCAATAAATTTCTGTTATTTTTAAATTACTAGTCTTAGGTATTCTGTTACAGCACCACAAAATGGACTAAGACACTATCTTAGCAAATGAAAAACAGGATAGGAAAAAAAGTTGTGTCCTTAAAAATGAATTCTTTTAACTTTATGAAATACTCATTATCCATATTTTAATCTGTATGTATATATATCTCTGTATACCATGAAGTGGCATAAATCTGGAGACAGAGTATTTAAAATTTGTTGAATTTCAAAAGATGAATTAATCTAACCGATTTTCTATTTTTCCTATTTATTCCTCAATTCTTGAGTTCTGTATCACTTTGGACGAGAGGGCAGAGCTGAATACACTGCTACAAATCTTCATCTATTTCTGGCCACTTCAACCACTATATGTAACTTGCAAGATTAAGCTATGTTTTACACAAAAAGGGTAGCACCCAACTGCCTTACCTGTCTACAGCACCACTTGCAGGGGAGGGGGAGGAGGCAGTTCTTTAGGTAGGGCAGTGCAATGCTTCCTCCTCTTCTGCAAGCAGTGCTGGTGATGCTGTAGAAGGAAGGGCATCCGTGAGAGGGGTAGAAAAAACAACGGAGGGCACGAAGATTGTTGGCTAAAGGTACTCTTTGCCCACCTATGCTAAATATGATGCCCAGGGTATAAATGTCTACATCAGTAAAAGTTTTCTATTTCAGGATTCAAAAGTGAATCAGATCAATGCCAACTTAAAAATGTATGTCATGGTGGGTTCTAATTTTAGGGGGTTGCTAGCATGTATAATCTAGCATATGGATATTAAGCATACTTCAAAATTAAATATCAAAAAAAGATACTAAACTTAATTTCAGCCTTAATTCTGAATTTCTTGTTTGTCTAGGTTCCAGTAGAATATACTTAGGAAACTCTCTGTAAGCAGTTTTTTAATTGACAAAATAATTTCTAAATTTATTTTTCAAAAAAAGTATTTTCTAAAAAGCTAATTCACAAAAAGAATATAACTGAAATCATTTTTTGTTTTTGTTAAAATTGGACTAAATAGCCTTTAAGGTCCTTTGAGTTGTGAAACTTCTTTTATGTTTAACATGCTATAATTTAGGACAATTGCTAAAATTCTGGAAGACTGTACATTAAGATTGTTAAAAATTTTATATAATATAGCCTATATTTGCTTAGAATACTACTTAGAATATCTGCCTACTGGCAATAAATGCTTTCATTAGTTTTCTTTCAAATTATTTAATAAGTCCTGCTCAAGAGATGTGTAGTATGTGCTTTGTCAACCAAATAATTATATTCATAACAAAATCATCATACAGTTCACTTAACTTGTCTAAGTAAAAATAAGATGAAGTATATAGTCTCTGGGGCCATATTTCAATGACTTTTCTAACAAAACATAATGTCATACAATGAGTTCGTCATCTTGCCAAAAAAATTGTACACATTTACTATAAAGTGATTAAAGCTAACTTAGCAGTAGTTAAGAAAGTTACTATGTTTCCAAGACACTCATCTGTCCTCAATAATCTGTTAAAATATATTTAATGTGGGGTTTACTCGATCAAAATCTTTTCAACTGGTTTTTTCATGAAAATTATCAACTGCCTTAAGCATTTCAATAAAATTGTTATTGATATTTTCTCAATTGTTATTGATATATTCTCTAAAAACTATACTGATAACACAATATGATTCTTCAATTCATTCCAAAGATGAATCTCAAAAATTCATATAGATAAAACTACTTAATGATAATGAAAAAAGCAAATCAAAAACTCAAATTAGGACAAATCATTGAGTGTAAATTATTGGTAGAGGAAATGCTGAATATTCAATATATGCCATTTAATGCATATCAATGCACCTCATAAGTCTGTCACAGACATACGCAAACCTTAAAAATTTGAGAGCTACTTCTTTGATTAAATTAATCCAATTGCGTGCATAATCAAGAAGCTTTCCAATTTTTTTTTAGGTACTTTTGGACTCAAACTGATAAACTCTGTGTAATAATGTCTACTAATTTGATCAAGCTGATAAAAAAAATTGTCTGTGTCAGTTATTGAGAATGAAGAAGGTATTTAGGAATGTACACATAGATACTACACTACAAACTTACAAATGAAACATAATCAGCCACACCAATTACTTGATTTTTAAAATAATCTTAATCCAGTTTATATTTTTGTGATACCACTAAACATAACCAAGGAATTCCTCAGGGAAAAAAGGTACCTACCTCACAAAATAATGTAAGCTTGTCATCTGGTAAAAGACCATTAGCTTCATCAAGCAAGAAATCCCTTCTAATGAATTTTTTAAAACCCCAGTCCTTCCCTTGCACAAATCGATATGCTCTTTGGCTTTCTGGTGAAAAACAAAATAGAAGTTTAAATAAAACAGATATCCAAGAGACATTTTTCTTAATGATAACACAATTAAATAAGATGTGCAAAAACAGGACTTCCAATATATCCATTATAAACATTATAGATACTTGTGTTCATATTAAAATGTCATAAAAGTTAAGTCAGGTAGAAACAGATCACTCTACATGGCTACTCAAATTCTGGTCACCATCAATGAGCTTAATTTCAGACATTCTGATCTCTAAGCAAAAAAGCCAGATCAAATCTCATGGAGAAGGAAAAATATATTTTCTTAAATCTAGGACCTAAAAACAATGAAATAGGATCAAAATATGTTGATATATATATACTATTCATCATCTAATATCAGAATCTAGTTAGAAAAATACATCTTATTTCCTGCTTCTTCCTTTAAAAATAGATGTCCCTAATTATCAAGGCAATTTTTAAGCATTGCTGGTACTCCCATCCCATTGATTTAACTTTTAGTCAACTACAGAAAAATCCATTAACTAATGAAAAAAATCAAATAAAGTCCATTATCATTCCTAAGTATCTAGTCATATTCCTTCTCCCTAAAAAAAAGTTCAAAGCCCCGTAGATGTTTTTATAGTACAATTTGTAATAGATTGAATAAATATCTGAAGTAAATGTTTCAAATGCCTAATGTACACTATATAACAACTGTGTACTATAAAATAAACACGATCCTCTACAGCAAACATTCACCATTTAAAATAAAATGGAGGAGGAAAAACAGCAATAAATCTAACAGAAATACTTTATCATCTTAAAAACAAGACAATGTTTAAATATAAGTGAAAATATGTATCATTTTGGCATTAAAGATATTCTTTAAAAATGTGTGTGTGATTTTGTAATCAAGTTACCTGATTCTGTAATTCACTTCTAGAAAATATTTAAAATTTAATGTAGCAGTTCACAACATATTTTCCTACTATGTACAACATATATTTCCTACAATATTCTTCTATTATTAACCTCTAGGCTACAGCATTTCAGATAGTTATATATGTGAATATTGGACTGAATTCAACAGCCACAGAACTAAGAAACACTAATTTCCTTTCAGTCAGTATTGAATCTTCTTAGCAAAAAAATTCCAGTAACAAAATATCAGGGCATTCCATCTCTTTATTTGTTCTTCAGATTCTATTAAATGGTGAAAAAGGCAAGGGAGAAGGGAAATGCTTCCTGAACGTTTGTTAGACATGCTAGGCAAGAACCAGGAACCTTGTGGAACCTCACCCTAACAGCAACGATTTTTCTAAGCGACAAGTATCCATTTTGGGACACGAAGTCAAATATTGATATTAATATCATTAACTACTTTTATATGGTTTATGAAGTCTAACACGTAGTAAAATAATCGTAGCTTTATGCTGGAATTTCAATAAGGCCAAATTAAATGTTTTTACTCAAGCAAGTTTTAGTGAAGAAGAAAAAATGCCAAATTTTACCAGGTAAAAATGCAGAAACCACAGTATATAGTTACACAAAAATGTCTTCCATCAGTTTGCATGTCACTTACCCATTGCTTTTGTTTCTTCTCTTTTAGCATTCAGAAGGGAAAATTTGAATTTTGCTCGAACTTCACTTTTGGGGCAGCTGACTAAAAGCAAATATAAGGACAAGTAGTCTTTACTTTCATCATCTAATCCCTTTGGGTTTACCCTCAGGCACCTAAAATAAAAAACAGGCTCATATGGAGGAATGTAATACTAGAATTGTTCAAAAGAGAGAAGCAATACTGAAATTATTTGTTAATTAATATCACAACACTTCTGTCCATAATCCCACAGTTCTTTATAATTCTCCACACTATTAAGACATTATTACCAATCTAATATAAAATTAGATTAATAGTCACTGTGAATAACAATAACAACAACAAAATCATAAGTAGCTGATAATCACATCAAAAACAAAAATCCAAAGCAAACAAAAACCTTACCATTTCATTTTGTCATTTGGGCCAGATGAAAATGTTGAACTTTTTAACACTTCACCCATTTCCTCTCGACAAAAACTGAAATTATTAATGGTCCACATGTATGAAAATTTCACAACTTTAACCTAAAGAGATTGAGAAAACTGTTTTAATAATGATGATTCATACTTTTAACTTGTTACACATCCTATGATCCAGTCTTTTAACACTTCTAGTAACTATGACAAAGCATTTGATAATATATTCTCAAAATTCTGTAAAACTTATAAATGACATAAGGTAAGTCATTTTTAATATGTACCTGTGTATAACACCAGCTTTCTGCTATAGGACCAGTAGACATATCTCCAGGCAGAGGTGGAGTGGGTTCCCGAGACATTGCCACTTTAGTGCAGCCTTTTAGAATTTACGAAGTATCTCACACAGTTGAGTATTTTGCCTACAAATGAAAATGAGTTTAATTTACTGATTTTAACTAAAAAATCAAAAGAGAATATGTATTTAAAAAGTCATGAAACATTTATTATCTCAAATTAGATGAAGGAACATGTGAGGATTTAAAATAATTTTATGTTATAAAATGAATCAATAAACTTTTGTAACACAAAACACTTGAAATCTAAAATAAACTTAGTATTTGTAGATAAAATTATTTTGTCAAGGCATACTTTCCAAAACGTCACAAATAAAAAGAAAACATATAGCTTAGAAGTAAGACAATATACATAAAATCACAGAATATCATACAAAGACAGCAATGAATATCAGATTCACCTCCCTTCACTTTACCATTGAAATCTTCATGAAAATCAAAAGATTTGGAAAATCAGAAATATAAATACAAATGGGAGGCAAGATAGTGAAGAAACAGGTCAGTGTGTGAGTCTCCACACAAGTGAGTGTCCTTAAAGACTCTCTGAGTAAGTGGGTATGTGCCGGTGGGTGAGTGAAAGTACAACAGAGGGGAGACTCGGGTTCATGCACCCTGGGTTCTCTTCCGGAGGTGACTGCAATCCATCACCTTCCTGAGATTGGAGCTCCTGGCACAAAGGATTGTCTGCTGTTCTCAGGGATCTCTTAAGAGGAGGCAGCAGAGAACAGCTGCTTCTCACCACCTGGCACCCGGATGATGCCATCACCTGTGGCAGCAAACCGGGCATGAGCCCCAGAAACAGTGAAGAAGGCAGGGTGTGGAAATCTGCACTGGAGCCTGGCCACTGGAGAGGAGACACCGACTGTCACCATCTAATCTGTCCCAGACCAGGCAAAGAAGTGAACTGCCCCAACCCAGATTCCAACCAGGGACCCAAGGGTTATACCTCTCATTGGACTTAGAGAGCTAGATGCCCCTCCACCACACAGGAACAGGTACAGACATGTCAGATCTCAGTGGGAGATTAGACAGCAGTGGCAGCAGCAGCAGAAAAGTCAGGTAAGTCTGGATCTAATCTGCCCTCCTTCCACAGTAGTCTGTGGGGCATCTGACTGACAATGAGAGCAACCCTATCAGCCTCCACTGAGAGCGGAGGGCATGGGCTGGAGACTAGAGCAAGTCAACGTGGTGGTAGCAGCCAAAAGGGTCCTGGAGTTAAGAAATGGCCACAGAGCGAGTTTTTTTGTTGTTGTTGTTTTAGTCTTTTTCTTCACTCTTTCTTTGTGTTTTTGTTTACATTTTCATACTTGCTTTGTTTCTGTTATTTTTATTTAAAATTTTTTTTTTAGATTTTCTGTTTGGGTATCTTTGAGGGTGAGTATGTCAACAGGGACTTTATTTGTTTGTATGATTGTCTGTATGGTTTTGTTTTTTTCTGTATATGCTTCTCTGATTATATGTTAGTTGGTACGTCTGTCTGTTCCTCCTTTTCTTCTCTCTCCACCTTCCTCTCATCTTCCTCCTTGCTTTTTCCATTCTTTTCCTTTTTCTTATCTCATTTTTCTTTTAAGGGGCAAACATACAACACCCCACTACATGGACAGATTGGAAGGTGGTGGGATGTATGTTCAAGGGGCCCACACACCTGTCAGCAGTTACTAGTATCTTCAGATAGTTTCTGAATCACAGCTTCCCCTTAATTAAATCCCCAAACTACAAAAAGCATAACCCTCTGCCCCCAGTCCAGCTTCAAAATTGAACAAAGCCAGAGGATCTACATAAGGAAGAATAGGAGATTGAGCAAACAGAAGTAAAAGCTATCCCCATTCACTGAACAACAGAATTAAAGAAGATGTTAAAAAAAGAGGGAGGAAAACCTAAACAAAGCCAAAGGAAGAATATGGGAGGCAACAACTGACTTTGGAATACAGACTCCAGAACTCAAACAATGAAAAGCCCCCAGAATGGCTGGTCTCAAATCATAAACCCAGATATCAAGAACTTAATAGAATAGACAGAAATGAGGAGAGATAAGAGAAAAGAATGAAAAAGTTGATAAGTGAGATAACAGCAATAGAGAATACAGTGAATGAAATAAATAAAATGATAAGCATGGGAAGCAGAATTAACCAAGCAGAAGAAAAAATCTCAGAACTTGAGGACCAAAACATGGAACTAACCCAAATAGTTAAAAACATAGAAAAGAAGTTGAAAAAGACAGAACAAAGCCTCCAAGAGATAAACGATTATATCAAGAGGCTGAACCAATTAGAATCCCTAAGGTACACAGAGAAGGCAGAGACCACCCTGGAACAAACAGTTCATGAAATTACCCAAGAAAACTTTCCTAATCTCATCAGAGACATGACCATTGAAACAGAAGAGATTCAGAGAACCTCTGCAAGACAACAAATGAGAAGACCAACTCCTAGACACACGGTAATTCACTTACACAAAGTAGGTATAAAAGAAAAAATCTTAAAGACAGCAAGAGAAAAAGGTCAGACTACCTACCAGGAAAGACAAATTAGAAAAGCAGCAGACTTATCTACAGAAACACTTCAGGCTAGGTGAGACTGGAATTTAATCTTCAAAGTTCCCAAAGATAAACAATTTCAGCCAAGAATTTCCTACCCAGCTAAGTTTCATCAGTGATGGAGATTTAAAATCCTTCCCAGACATTCAATCCCTAAGAGTTTATCCCACCCAGACCAGCTCTATAAGAAACACTTAAAATATTAAACACAGAAAGTAAAAAAAGAATGACAATGCCCTTCCCCAGAATGTAGGAAAAAGATCGAAGAAACACATAAATCAACCCCAAAATCAAAAGAAAGACAACAAATAAAAAAACAAGTAGCAGCAACAACAAACTCTATAAGAACCTCATCACAGGGATAAACTCTCACATCAAAATATTTAGCCTGAATGTGAAAGAACTAAATTGACCACTGAAAAGACACAGAATGACAAAATGGATAAAATATCATGATGCAACAATATGTTTTCTCCAAGAGACTCAACTCACCACAAAGGACACTCACATACTCAAAGAGAATGAAAATGAAATTTTCAGGTGAACAAAACACAAAAGAAAGCAGGAGTTGCAATATTAATATCTGACAAAATACCTTTTAAGATATCAAAAATTTAAAAAGATACAGAAGGTCACTACATAATGATAAAAGGTTCTATCCTTCAATGAGAGATATCTTTCCTAAACATACATGCACCCAACATAGGAGGACAAACTTTCATAAAGCTTCTAGGAAAACTAAAAGATATTGACTCTAACACTATTATAGTTGGGGACTTAAATACCCCCACTAATAACCCTAGACAGATCATCAAGACAAAAAAATCAACAAGGAGATCTGGAACCTCAACGTTACGCTTTACCAAATGGATTTAATTGATACCTTCAGAACACTCTACCCAACAACCATGGAATATACATTCTACTCACACCACATAGAACAATTTCTAAGATTGACTACATCCTTGGCCATAAATCAAGCTTAAACAAATTTTGTAAGATCAAAATACTGCCATCTACCTTCTCAGACCATAGTGGAATAAAAATAAATATCAAAACCAACAAAGTTCCCCCAAAACCTACTAAGCCACGGACATTAGAAAGCATGATGCCAAACAACTCCTGGGTTAACACAGAAATCAAAACAGAAATTAAAATATTCCTAGAAACAAATAAAAACTAAGAAAAATCTTACCCAAATCTCTGGGATGCCATGAAAACAGAACTAAAAGGTGAATTCATACTCTCAATGCACATGAAGAAAAAAGAAAGATTTCAAGTTAACAGTCTAACAAATCAGCTAAGGAAGCCTGTAAAGCAAGACCACCAAAACCCTAAATTCAGCAGAAGAATCCAGATCACTAAAATAAAAGCCCAAATTAGGGGCACAGAAGTCAAAAATATAATTAAAAAAAAAAAAAATCAACGAAACACAAAGCTGGTTATTTGAATGGATAAACAAGATCGATGGATTCCTCCCTAGTCTCACCAAGAAAAAGAGACAAAATGCCCAAATAAACACAATCAGAAATGCAAAAGATAAAATCACAACTAACCTCAAAGAAATACAAACAGTTGTCAGAGGTTACTATGTATACTTATATGGAAATATTTGAAAACCTAAATGAAATAGAGGACTTTCTGATATCATACAACCTCCCCAAGTTAAAACAAGAAGAAATTGGAACCCTAAATAGATCAATAACAACCCAGGAAATCAACTATGTCATAAGAAAACTACCACCACCAACAACAACAACAAAAAGCCCTGGACAAGATGACTTTCTGGCAGAATTCTACAAAACATGCAAGGAGGAGCTGATACCAATCCTACTGAAAGTATTATAGGCAATCGAGAAAGATGGAACTCTTCCCAAATCTTTTTATAAAGTTAACAGCACATTGATAACCAAATTGGGTAAAGATCAAACAAAGAACGAGAACCACAGGTCAATATCCTTGAGGAATATCCTTGAGATGCATGCTAACATTCTCAACAAGATTCTAGCAAACTGAATCCAACAACACATCTCAAAAATCATCCACCACAACCAAGCAGGCTTCTTTCTTGGTATGCAGGGCTGGTTTAACATCCACAAGATCATAAACACAATTAAACACATCAACAGATTGAAAAACAAAAACCATATAATTATATCATTAGACTTGAGAAAAGCTTTTAATAAAATCCAGAACCTCTTCTTGATAAAAACCCTCGAACATTCAAGCATGGATGGAACATACCTCAAAATATGAGAGCCATCTACGAGAAACCCACAGCCAACATACTGCTAAGCAGACAGAAATTGAACCTTTTCCTCTGAAAAGTGGAAGAAGACAATGATGCTCACTCTCACCCCTCCTGATCAACATATTATTGGAAATCCTAGCTACGTAATCAGACAAAAAAAGAAAGTCAGGGGTATATATGCAAATAGGAAAAGTGAAAGTTAAGTTATCCCTCTTTGTAGACAACATGATTCCATACCTTGAACACCAAAGATAATCTGTCAAAAATCTCCTTGCACTAAT